CCACACAAAAGGCCACACCATCTTGGTCTTCATATCTTAGACTTAGTGTTGTTAGGGGGACCTTCATCTCGAATGAAAGTGCACGAAGAAGCCAAACGGCTACAGTACAACAAGATTCATCCGTCCTCATCTGGTGAGATTGACCAACGAATCTCTTCTTCATGCACTTTCATTCGAAATGAAGGTCCCCCTAACAATGTTATCTCAGGAGATTCATCGAAACCAACTTTATCTTCCGACCCAGTGTGGTTTTGACCTCGTTTCAGCAACTTAGTTGGAGCGACAGGGAGACCTTGCGGAACGTACCTTGTCCTGCGTCCTTAGCTAGAGTATTCGAGAGGATTTCCACAATCGGACTCTCGATTTGCTACGCTCCCAGACGTTTAGCCGACGTCATTGTCACTTTGATACGTTGTTACTCTGTAATGAAGATGGCGCCTCTCACTGACGATGTGGACTAGGACACCGGTGAAGCGTCTGGGAATGTACCAAGTTAAGGGTCCGATGCTATAAATCACCATGGATACTTTGGCAGAGGACGCAGTACTAGGTACGCTCCAAAAGGTATCCATGTCGCTCCGACCAAGTAGAAAAACGAGGTCAAATCAATCCTATAAAGCCAAACAAAAGTTGCCCATTCAACCTGAACAGCCTTTCTCAATTGGCCAGTGCTTTATTTATAGGGTGCAGACTCCAAAAAAAATATTTAGATTAAATGCCTTCCAATAGATATTCCCCCCAAATCGGATAAGGCGATGAGGGAAGGATATTTGGATTTTTCCATAATACTATGAGTATATGTGTGCGGAAAAGTTGGGCCTCGAAAAATCTCGTGGTTTATCATTATTCAGCTTTCTTCCACTTCGAGTGAAAGTGTTTGGCGAAAAGATTCGAAGGTTGATCTCAACGGAACACGTCGGCGGATTCCTCTTAACCAACTGTCGATTGATTTTACTGGAACATTCTTATTGACACCGTTTCCGAGGCAATCCCCTTCGATTCTGGTTGTAAAGATAATATGCGAAGAAAAGTTGGGTTTCGAGGAATCTCTTGTTTCATAATTGTTGAGCTTACTTCCATTTTGA